AACAAACAAACAAAAAAAAAAAAAAAAAAAAAAAACCATGAAAAAAAAAATAAAATAACAGATATATTGAGATATATTTCACAAACCACACAACTCACTCATTTAAAGCATGTAATTCAATGGTTTTTAGTATATTCTTATGCAACCACGACAATATTCTAAAACATTTGATCACTACTTAAAGAAATCACGAATCTATTAGCAGTCATACCCCATTTCCTTTGACTACCCCCTACCCCACCTCAGTTCTAAGGCAAACACTAATCTGCTTTCTGTCTGTATAGACTTGCCTATTCTGGACAGCTACTATAAATGGAATTATACATATATAATCCTTTGTGGCTGAACACAACATAATCTTTTCAAAGTTCCTCCAAGTCATAGCATGAATCATACTTCATTCCTTTTTATGACTGAATAACATTCCACTATACAGACATACATTTTCACCAGCAATGTGATAGTTCTAATGTCTCTACTTTGTCAACATTATTGTGTTTTAGATTTTTTCTATCCTTATTGGTATGAAGTGATATTTCATTGTTTTTTTGATTTGCATTTTCATGATGGCTGATGATGTTGGGCATCTTTTCACGAGCTTGCTGGCCACTTGAATACCCTCTTTAGAGAACAATCTCAGGGTTCAGACCCTTTGCCCAATTTTAAATTGGGTTATTTGCCTTATTGAGTTGTAAGAGTTATTTATGTATTTTTTGGTAAAGATTTATTTATTTAGGCATACAAGAGCTGGGGTACAGGCCAGAGGTACGGGGGGTGAAAGGATTCACCAGAGACAGAGCAGGGAACACAACAGGCAGATTGACAGAAATACACTGCTGAGGGGAGCAGTGGGCCAGACAGGAGAGGTCTGCTGCACCATGTGGGTAGCTCCCTGGCTGGGGATCAAACTCGTGCTACAGTGGCTGCGGACAGCTTCATAGGTTGTGTCTTAACCCCGTGGGCCATCAGGGAGGCCCCTTTTATGTATTTTACATAAAGTCCTTTATGTACTTTATCACATATGATTTCCAAAAATGTTCTCCCTTCTGTGATTTTCATTTTCTTGAAGAGTATCTTTTCACTTTCTTGACATCCTTTGAGGCATAAAAGTCTTTAATCTTAATGATGTCCAATTTTTCTCTTTTGTTGCTTGTGGCTCACACTTGGAGAAAATGGCTAAAATGCAACTTGAAACTCTGGAAACTGAGACCTCAAGCTTGGCAAGGATTTTTGGGTTCACTTTTGAGGGGGATTTCTCCATGTTTGGGATTTCATTCCCCAGTTGGCCATCCCTGGTTCCACTGAGCTGGAAGCACTGAGCCCCAGGGCACCTTCACAAGGTCTACAGTCCCCTCCCTCTCTAGAGCAGCTGAAATGACAGTTTGGAAATGTCCTTTATTATGAAAACTCAATGGCCTTTGTCTCAGGGATTTGAAATTTCGATGCAAATGTTGGCAGCAAAGAGTTAGGATGGAGGAAGGGAAGGAGAGAAGAAACCCAGCCACTAGTTGCCCTATGAGTCATCTCAACTGTTGTTTTGGTTTTCTCACCCATAAAAATGGGGAGAATACTTCCATCTTCCATCTTCCCATTTCAGTGGGGGCACTGTGAAGGTGAATTAATCTGTATTTGTTAGAACACTTTGAGATCTTGGATTAAAGGCATTACTGAGGTGCAAACTATTATTATAATAATAAATGATTTAATAGCAGGGAGGATGAGGCCGCTAAGGCAAGAATCCACAGGGGTAGGGATAAGAGAGACTCTCAGCTGTGCAGGGCCTGTGCCCACACACAGGTTTTGATTCTTAGAGATCTGTGATCTCTCACAAACTGGGTTATTTCATCTGAATTTAGGATGGCTTTATTGAGAGCTTCCAACATGGCTTCTCCATAACATTACTTTTTAGGAAATAAGCTATGTACATTAAAACAAAGAGAAACAATGCAAGACATTATAATCAAGTGCTGAACTGAATTAGTGTCCAAAAAACCCCCCAAAAGCACACAGGAGAATAGTGAAGAACAGTGTTTCCCTGTTAGGAATCCCAGGTCTAGCAGCTGTGTGTGACTGCCTGGGTTTATTCTCCTGTGACTGCAACTGTTTGTGTAGGGTCTTAGAATAATGGTTAGCACATAGTAAGCACTGAAATGTTGGCCTAGTCTCTTGTCAGCCCTGATTTTGCTGGTTATGTAATCTAGGCCATGTTGCTAGATCCCTCCCAACTTGGTCATGCTATCTGTAAATTGGTGATAAGGGTACTCACCAGCTTACACAGCTGCTCTGCGGGGCTGGAGGGAGACAATGTAAATGGCACAGAACAGGGCCCCATAGGTGAACATTCCCTAAATGTGAATGTCATTAACACTATTATTGTCATTAACACTATTACTGTCCTGGCTGAAGCATGAGTGGTGAGCTCACTCACTAATATTGTAACAGGGTGGTCCCCAGGAAAGGGGGAAGTTCCAGGTTCCCTGCCCCACCCAAGAGAGGGTGGAGCTGAGCAGGGAGAGAAGAAGCTGCAGAAGAGACTGAGGAAGGAAGGAAGCAGGATGGAGCCAGAAGGAGACCTGGAGGAGGCACATGGAGTCTAGAGACATTTGAAGAAACTGTGCTTGTCTCTTGGTTGTGGACTGGGGTGAGACCCATGGGGCGGTGACAATGGCAGCTTTTATCTTGATGTTGATTTTGCTCTTTTCCTTCCAGGCTTGTCTGGTTGTTTTTGACCCTTTTTTGTGGGTCCCCACTGGAAGGTGCTTTAGACTTGTGGCAGGCTTTGGGGCCTTTTTCTGGGCCAATCCCATTTGGATGGAGTTTTACCCACGAGGGGACGGGTAACTTTGGGGCTTGATTTAAAAACTAGATTTTTTGCCTTTCCTATATTGTTTCCTAGTTTTATTAAAGTTCCTTCCCATTAAAGTCTCATATGTTTTGTGTTGATGCGGTGGATGGCAGAACCCATTTAGAATAGGCAGGTTTGCCGGGTTTGGGCTGCCCCTCTCCCTGTCCTATAACAGATTTGGTGTCCAACGTGATTTAGGACTTGCGGGGTTTGGGCTGCCCCTCTCCCGGTCCTATAACAATAGCTTAGGTAAGTCCAGGGACTTCTTTGGAAATTGAAATTTGAGGTGCGACAGAAGGAATGGATAGATCAAAGAAAGGGAAGGCCTGAGAATAGCCTGCCCTCTGCAAGCAGGGAGGGGCTGGCACTACGCACTTTTTCCTCCAGTTGGGAGCCCGGCCGGCGGGCTCTATCTGGTAAAGCCGCAGCAGCTCTTTACCTCCAAGCCCCCCCTTCTGCAATCTCGGCTTCCACCTTACCAGCAGCTGGGCGAGCCGCAAGGTCGCAGCAACGCCCCCCCGCCCCCCAGGAATGTGGGTCCCGCTTCCTGGGCCGACCAGGCCGGGCGCCTTCCTCTTCCCGCGCAGTCAGGAGCCGAGAACCTCGCCGTCTTCACCCCATCCTTGCCAGGATCCAGTTTCAAAGTCACCTGTAAGCCATTTCCTCCAGCCCCGGCTCCTCCCCTCCCCTCCCAGAAAAGCACCTGGAGCTTGTATTTGCCTGGAGCACCTTTTTTTTTTTTTTTTATTTCTTTCTTCGTTTGTTTTGTTTTTGAGGTGAACTCTATAAACCGTTTACTATACACACTTGTCTACACCCGGATATCAAATATACCCAGTGGTTCTGATCTCGGTGTCCCTTCTCCTAAGGTAGAAAACCTAAATAAGGGACCAGGAAAAAGACTAATTATAATAAAGTAAAAATCAAAATCAACAAGCAACTATAAACCAGAGACACACTAAGGGGGGGTAGGAGGGATTAGGGTCAAGATAAGGGGGGTGGAAATTGTATGGGGACTACAACCAAGATGAAAATGCATACATTGTGCAAAAAATGAAAAATGATGCACAACATATATAAAATAAAAAACAAAAAAATGGTAAGAAAAGTTAAAAAAAATAAAGGGGAATGCGCATTTAAAAAAAAAAAACAAAACAAAACAAAAAAAAAAGAAGTGGTGATAAGGTGTAATCGGTGAGACCTCTTTAGGAGTCCCACCCGGATTTCTCTCTGTTTTGCGCAGGGACAGTATCCTTAGCCCCAGGGCCTTTACTGATGAATTAGTACAGTTTTAAAATTTACGCTCTGGCTCAAAATCCAGCCTGCCGGTGCCCAGTGTCCCTGCCCCCACTTTCCGGGCGTGCACCTTTCCATGCCGTGTGCTCACATGCAAACAGGAGCCAGGTTGTCGGCACCTACAGAAATGGGGTCCTCTATTATGACACAGATTTTGGCACCTTGCTTTCCCCCCTAACAGCATCTTGGTGAAGCTGCCTCAAGCAACAGACTTCTTCTCTGAGCTTGGGTTTACTTGAGGACAGGCTCGCCTGGCCCGATTTCGGGGAGACATTCAAGACGTGCCCTTCTGACTCCGAAAAGCCAGGTGCCCTGCTCTCAAATCCGAGCCCCACGAACGTCTGAGTCTGGGTCGGCGGGAGCCCCTCGGTTGATGTCAGGTGAGGAAGCCCCCACCACGTGCTTGTTTGTGTCTTAGGGCGCCCGGGCTGCCGCGAGGCTGCGCGGGGACCCCTGCGCCCCGGCCGCGCGCGCCCCCCGAGAGCGTTAATCATTAGCCCCGCGCCCGCGCGCAGCCTTTACCCTCGGCTCCAGCTCGCAGCGCCCCGAAGTTTCTGGCGGCCCCCGCGGAGCCGCCACTCGCCGGATTCCTGCCGCGGGCCCGAGTCTCCACCCACTGGAAAAATTCCTGCCTCGCCCCTCCCTCTGCCCGGCCTCCCGCCGCTGCTCCCGCTCGGCGCGGCCCCGACTTCCTGCCCGGCGCTGGGAAGCCGGGCGCTGGCTGGGGTCCCCGGGTCCCCGGGGCCGCGCGCGCAGCTGGCCGCGTCCTCGGGCGCTGGCGGGGGGCGGGAGCAGCCGGCGGGCTCGGTCCCTTCCGAGAGCGACTTTCAAACTTGCGCCCGCGCCGCGGCGGCACCTGGGCAGCCTCGCGCGCCGTGCCTGGCCGCCCGGGCGGCGTGGCAACTGCTGGGTGAGTGCCCCTCGCTTCTGCCCGCGCCCTCCCTCGTGCAGCCCGCCAAGGGGCCGTGCCCGGAGCCGCTCCGAGGCTCGCGTCCCCCCGGGGCACCGCCCCAGCCCCGGGCCGGGCGAGCACCAGGGCGAGCGCCCCGGGTGTTGGAGGAAGGCCCGGGGCTGCGGTCGCTGCTCGCTGGGCGACCCTCCCCGCCGAGAGCTGCAGCGCGGGAGGGTTGTGCAAGGAGACCTTGTTTTGTCCTTTAGCTCCCACCCTGGGAACAAAAGGAGCGAAGGGGCCGGGTGGCTCCAAAGACGGAGTTTGAAACTCGAGGCTGCGCCCACCCGCGCCCCTGCGCGCTCGGGCACCCGCGGGCTGGTCGTTGTCTCCCGCGGTGGGCTGGGGCGGGGTGGCCTCGCCTGGGGCAGGACCCGAGCCGCTGGTGCTGCGAGCTCCAGAGGCGCCAGCAGCCGTTCCGGGTAGCTGCCACACGGTGCTGGCTCTTGGAAGTCTCCGCTCGAGTTCTGGAGGGAATAGTGTGGGTGCCAGGAATGGGGAGTTGGGGAACTGCCACAGTCTATCTTGACCATGTCCGCTCCTGAAATCGATTTGGTTAATTTTCTCATCCTGAGCCAGGATAGGACACGCAAACTTAAAATTTCAGGACGCTTTTAGGTAGCTACTTTTATTTTTCGGGGTGGCTTTTGAAAACAAAAGGAAGAACTGAGTAGGAAATGCAATAGTGGGAGGCTGCGGAGGTGTGGCCTGAAAGGGGGGGCGGTGTTAGGGACGGCTGTTGGACGTTTAGCCTTGAGGAGGTCGCTAGCTGGGGTTGTTGGCAGCTGAAGAGACCCCTCAGGAAACAACCCAGACTTACATTCCCCTACCCGGATCCCTGGACTGGGCTTCCCAGAGCCTTCCCAGCCATGCCCCTGCATGTAACCAAGCACACCAGCCTTGCCCAAGAAATAATAAGCAGGGAGAGTAATGACAGCCCAAGAGGACTCTTCTGAGCACATAGCCTGCTTCACCTTCTGGAAGGACAATGCCTTTTCAGCCCCTCCTTTGGCAGACTGGAAGTGAATCCCAAGTGAGTTCACCCCACTGTACCCCGCAGGAAAGTTAGGGAGTAAGAATCAAAAGAAAAGGAAGCATGCCCCTGCATTTAGTTATACAGCCCTTCCTTGTGATCCTGGGTCTCCCTCATCTCCTACACGTGCTGTTCATATTCCCACCAGCTGCCGCCCTCTCCCACTTCCTTTCCGGAAGTTTGGGCAACCCCGTGGCTCCTTAGGTATCTTGCCCTGGGGATGGATCAAGGAGGCAGGATGGGTGAATCAAGTCTTAGCAGCAGAGGGAGTGGTTTAAGAGCTGCTCTGGGAGCTTTTCTACTGCCTCTTAACAGAAGCGACCTGGCAGGCAGAGTAGAAAGATCACTGGTTTGGGAGTCCAGCAGCACAGGTTTTGGCCTTGAGTTTGTCCTGGCTCATCTGTGCCTCATCAAAGATGGATGAGTCGCTTGGGCTGGAAGGCACTTGGGATTAGTCTACTCCATTTACACCTGAAGGCAGCAGGGCCTAGAGCTCTAATGTGATTTGAGCCTGGTCTCTACTTGCCAGATAGGGACCAGAACTCTGATTTCCTCACTGTCTAGTCATGTATCTGATCATGCTTTTCTCGGCATGATCTGGGCAAGTTACATATCTTTTCTGGCTCAGATTCCATATAAGTGCAGTGGGGTACTTGCCTGCCCTTCCTGACATAGGCTGTGGTAAGGATCAAATGAAGACACATAGGTAGAAAGTTCTCTATAAATTCCTGCATAAAATTAAGGGCTTACCATGACTAAGAGGGATCCCAAGAGCTTTACAATTTATTGGGTCTGTCCCATGTATGCAACAAGGAGGTGGTAGATATCAGGAGCCATTGGTAGAAGTTTACACTCCTGTAATATCTTAGCTCCAGAGTAAACATTTGCCTTACCAAATCCGCAGCTATCCCAGGGTCACTGTGTTTACATGGGAGGAGGCCAAAGGCCACGGCCTGAGGGATGACTAGGGCTAGAGGAGAGAGGGGACTGTGTTTCAGTTGTATGGCCTGTTTTTTCACATGCATAACCCTTTACTACCGCTCCCCCCCCCACCCCAAGTCTGTGAAGGTTCTGGCTCCAAGCCTGGGGTTGTCACAAGCCCAGCCTGGGCACTGACTGACCTTGGAGGGTTAATTGTGAAGCCATCTAGCCATTCTCTGTTGTGTTGGGGGCTGAGGGGACTCAGCATTGGGAGAGTGTTGGCCTTTGCAGCTGCACTGTGAGCTGTCTTCAGTGCCTCATCTGCCCTCCATCCCCCACTGCAGGCTGTCCCTCTGGCTCAGGCTGCTGTTCTGTCCTGCCTCTCTGGCCAGCTGCATGTCCATAGTTCTTTGTTCCAGGGCTGCAAGCCCACACTCCCCAGCAGAAGCCCTCTGGCTGAGACCCTGGTAGCTGCAAATCACTACTGCCAGCAGGAAGATTTTACTGGACTGCATGGAGAAACTGGCAGACCCTCATCTCCTCATTTGGGGCTCCCAACTTGTCCCTGGCCAGATTCTCCATCTTTTCCCATCTCCCCTTTCTTCACTGAATGACAGATCATCCTCTCTTTCTTCCTAGACTCATGCCTCTTTGTTTCATTTTAAAGCATTTATTCAGTCCACAGTTATTTGTCTGGCCCTTACAACATATGAATGCTAAATGCAGGGGGCACAAGAATCAACTTTCATTATACAACAAACGATATACAAACATTTACAACAATATACTATACCACTATACCACTGACAGTAAACGAGACAGATAATTGAAATAGAAGGTGCATTAATGATGAACAGAAAACTGTGACGCAGGAAAAGACAGGAATTGTCATGGAAGGGGTGAGATGGCTGGGCTCAGGAAGCTTCCCCGAGGAAGGGATGTTTGAGGTCATGCCTGTAGAAGGTATTTCCCTTCATCTCTGATTTTCCTCTCTTGAAACCCAGTTCAGACAACGCCCTGTGGCTCTGAAGTAGCAGGGACTGGGATCAGATGCACCTGTGGAGGCTTTGCGGCTGGGTTTCTCACCTGTAAAATGGAGTTAGTCATCCTGCCTACCATTACAATAGCGTGAGAATAAACTAGGAGATAACATGTATTAAGTCTTAGCAAAGCCTGTAGAGGTGTTCAGTAGATGGCAGACTCTTGCTACTCTTCTAACCAGATTCTGCAGGGGTAGCCCAAAAAATTTAATGCCATTGCAAAGGACTCTAATGAAAAGTTTTCCATTTCAAGTGTTAGTAGGAGTGGGGAATTAGAGTGAGGTGAAAATAGAAACCCTAGTAGTGCAGACTTTCTGCTTGGTGAGAGTTTTCTCCCTTACCCTAGAGGATGGGGGACTACAGGTGTGTGCAGTTTCCCCCAGTGATGGGGGAGCAGGGGGTCAAGCCTTGAGCTTCGCTTGCCCTGGAACAACTCCTGCTCTCAACCAGCCCTGGTGAATCACAGTGTGTCTCTGGCCTCTCCATTCTGCCTTTTAGTGGGAAGGCTATCTGCCCCTCCCCCCAATGTCAAGTAGATAAGCTGTGTTCAGAGGGGAACAGAAAGGGGTGAGAACATAAGAGAGGAGGCAGGGGCTGCTGGGCAGATGTAGGTGGAGCAGCTCTGGGAGAACCTGTGGAGGAGACAAGAACATTCTGATGGAGACTCTGAGGCAGCCCCAGAAAAAAATCCAAAAGGACTCCACAAGGACCAGAGGTTTGGAGTAACCGAATCTGTACAGACACCATTAGAGTTAAAAGTCTGGCCGCACCCAGCTGCTCAGCTCTGCCCTGCTTCCACCCAGCTAATCTGAGGAGTCTCTTCCCCTCTGCTAGAACTGCAGCCCTCAAAGGGAGGGGCCTGATCTTAAAGCCTGCTGTCAAAGCTGTGGTGAGCTGTTTCCTGGGGGCCCTGCCCAGACACCGGAAGCAGGGCTGGGCTGTGGAGGAGGAAGGGAGGCCCAGGGGAAGTGGTCATCTGCCTGACCACTCCCATGAGGGCCCCCGCTGCACAGCAGAATATCCAGGCAAGCCCTGTGGTGAACTTTACAGACCTGCTAGTTGGTGCCTGGAGATTGGTTAAAGCTACATATAATCTGGCCTCAGAGGAAGTTGCAGAGGGCCCTGGGCAGCCTAGGGCATTTGGGTGATGTTGGGTGACCTCAAGTCAGAGGAGAAAGATAATTGGGCAGAGCTGACCAACCTGTGATCAGAAGGAGACGTATCTAGAGACGCTGGTAGTCCCTCTGGGTGTTAGCTGTCTGGCCTTGTTAAATGGGTCTCTTCTGCTTGTTTTGATTAGAAGCTCTATGAAGGCAGTGCTTCATAACTGCTTGACTCAGCTTTGTTCCCACAAAGCATGGAGAAGAGTACTAAAGGGTGTGGTGAGCTTGTGCTGGGGTCCCATCCTGAGAGTAATCTAGGCTTGGTGGTCTTATCTCCAGCTTTTGTCACATGGGGTTTGGGGAAGGAGCTCATTGTGGGGATCAAACCCTGCCCTGGCTGGGCTGTTGACATCTGGGAATATCAGCAAAGGAAGAGTGGACCTTTGTGCAGGTCCCTTGCTGGCCTTTGAAGAGGGAATCCTGATTTAAGTTCAAGGAGTGAGTTTGCAAGTATTCTTAAACTATGTTCCATGCTGAGGAGACTCTGGGCTGAACACAGGACCTGAACAAGGTTCCAGTGGGTGCAGTGGTTCATGTGCAAGCTATCTTTGGGTAAACACAGTTTGAGGATCCTAGACTGTTGCTCTGATTGTGGTTGAAGGCTGGTGGAGAGTGGAAGGAAGGGATACAAGAGGAGTGGAGTCTATTTTACTGTGCTAACTGGGTCACAAGAGGAGAGAGAGGGTCTACGGGTACTGAAAGCTCCTTAACAACTCATATACCCTTTACCCTCTCAGGCTGCAAAACTATGTGTGTTTATACATGAGAGGTTCTTGAGCGGTAGATAGAAAGGGGACCAGTGTC